TTTATTTATTGATGGGTTGTTTCCAACGCAACCACGGGTGCTGAACCCAGCCCTGGTCGGGCTGGTGGACACAAATTTGGGGAAATTGTTCTCCCAGCTGCCCAACCCGCGGCTGGAATTCTGTTTGGTTCCTTCCCGGAGCTCAGAGAGAGCAGATGTGGCGCCCACGTCCAACTTCTCCTGGTGTCCCACCAAAAGTTCAGATAAATTCAGATAAAAACCAAAAATTCCATTTGGATTTACCACGGTTTGGGTAAATTCAGATAAAACCCAAAAATTCCATTTGGATTTGCCACAGTTCAGATGAATTCAGATAGAAACCAAAAGTTCAAGTTGGATTTACTACAATTCAGCTTGGGTTTACCACAATACACATAAATTCAGATAAAAAGCAAAAATTCAGTTTGGATTTACCAAATCTCAGATGAATTCAGATAAAACCCAAAAATTTCAGTTTGGATTCGCCACAATTCAGATAAAAAACAAAAATTCAGCTCGGATTTACCACAATTCAGATAAATTCAGATAAAAATCAAAAATTCAGCTCAGATTTACTACAGCTCAGATAAATTCAGATAAAACCCAAAAATTCACAGCTAAATTCAGATTAAACCCAAAAATTCACAGATAAATTCAGATAAAAACTAAAAATTTGCAGATAAATTCAGATGAAACCCAAAAATTCCAGCTCGGATTTGCCACAAATTTGACAAATCAATTCACACAAACCTCGTGGTGCACACTTCATCCCCCATCCATGGAATTTATGGAATTTACCTCTGGAAAAGGTCGGTGCAGAGGCAAATATTTGGTGTCGCACCCGCGCCCGAACCGACCCTCTCCCAAACCCCGGATATTAATTGACCCTGCGGCCGCGCTGCCAAACGTCATTTTCCGGAAAATTATCCTCTGGAAATAATCTCCTCGTCACTAAGGGGCCCGGAACCCTCTCGTACATGACATGATCCAATTTTCATAGAGCAGGGGCAGCTTTGGAGAGCAGAACTGTTAATAAATGACACGATCACGGAGCGCGGGCCGCCGCGCCGCGGCGAGGGCAGGAGTTATTAAGGAGCGACGCTTTCAATTTGTGCGCCTAAGTAATTCTCTTTTATTTCATTGCGGGCCCGACAGAATCCTGCGGCGGCGGCGGCGGCGAGAAAAGCCCCCCGAGCTCCTCGGCGTCCAAGCGGGCGCGCACGGCCTACACCAGCGCGCAGCTGGTGGAGCTGGAGAAGGAATTCCACTTCAACCGCTACCTGTGCCGGCCGCGGCGCGTGGAGATGGCCAACCTGCTGAACCTCAGCGAGCGCCAGATCAAGATCTGGTTCCAGAACAGGAGGATGAAGTACAAAAAGGATCAGAGGTCCAAAGGCGTGGGCGGCTCTTCCTCCAGGGGCCCTTCCCCGGCGGGCAGCCCCCCGCAGCCCGCGCACGCCTCGGCGGGGTTCCTGGGCGCCCTGCACCCCATGAGCGCCGCCTACGAGGCGCCGTCGCCGCCTTCCTTCGGCAAAGCCCCCCAGAACGCCTACCACGCCAACGTGGCCAACGCCGCCTACCAGGCGCCCAACAAGGGCTGCCCGAGCCAGCACAAGTACGCCGGGGCGGCGTCGGCGGCCGACTACGAGCCGCACGTGCTGCAGGCCGACGGCGTGGCCTACGGGCCGGCCGGCGTGCCGGGCAGCCCCGCGTACGCCGCCGGGAACTTCGCGGATGCTCTGCCCGCCTCGGGCCCGGCGCTCTACGGCCTCGGCCACCTCCCGCAGCACCGCGCCGCCGGCGTGGACTACGCCGGGGTGGCGCCGGGCCAGCCCCACGGACCGTGCGACGGCCACGGCGCCTACGCGGAGCTCCCGGCGCTCCACGCCGCTTCTCAGGGCAGGATCCAAGAGGCGCCCAAGCTCACCCACCTGTGAGACGGGCGGCGGCTTGTGGGCAGGGACAGGGGACGCTTGGTGCCAGGGATGGGCGCCTTGGGTTTCTCTCCGGATTTGGCGGGGTTGCGGCGCTCGGGGGTCGTTGCGAGCACAAAATCCGAGAGTTTCTCGGTGGTTTTGGAAGGGAGGAACCCCCTGGGTGTTGGCACGAATGTTCTGAAACGGGCTCGGGGTGGTTTTGTGGGAATCCCGCAGGGTTGACGTGGCCAAATCCGTCGTTTCCAAGCCACGTCTGGATCGTCACCGATAATTCCCGGATGCTGGGAAGGAGGAGAGTCCGCCAGGCAAGCTTCGGGGTCTCTGCGTCCAAAAAAACCCCAAAGAGATCCACCAGGAAGTTCCTTCTGCAGATCCAGCTGTGCTTTCCTTCCCAGCCCTCAGGGGAAGGGTTGTCCTTTTCCGCTGGCCAAGGGAGAAATCCAATTTCCCACCGGAAAAGGGAGAAATCCAATTTCTGACCAGAAAATGGAGAAATCCAATTTCTGACTGGAAAAGGGATACATTTCATTTCCCACCAGAAAAAGGAGAAATCCAATTTTTGACCAGAAAAAGGAGAAATCCAATTTCCCACCGGAAAAGGGATAAATCCAATTTCCCACCAGAAAAAGGAAAAATCCAATTTCTGACTGGAAAATGGATAAATCAAATTTCCACTGGAAAAAGGAGAAATCAAATTTCCACTGGGAAAGGGATAGATCCAATTTCTGACTGGAAAAGGGAGAAATCCAATTTCCCACCAGAAAAAGGAAAAATCCAATTTCTGACTGGAAAAAAGAGAAATCCAGTTTCCACTGCAAAAAGGATAAATCCAATTTCCACTGGAAAAAGGAAAAATCCAATTTCCACCGGAAAAGATAAAATCCAATTTCCACTGGAAAAGGCAGAAATCCACTTTTCCACCGTGTAACTTCCTACCGAACCCCCAAAATCCTGCCGACACCCACAGCTGCCGACGCCCGGGAGCCGCGCTCGTCCCTCCAGGCCCCGCTCCCCCTCTCCAAAACAACACCACAAAAACAACAAAAAAAAAATTCAAAAATTGGGGGTAAGAGCGGCCCAACCCCAGCAAGGCTCGAGGAATCCCTTGGGAACGCCTCGATCCCCCTTTATCCCCCTCCCAAAATTCCAAAGAGAGGAAGAAAGAATCGACAGGTCGGAATATTTCCCTTCCCTCGCCTCAGCTGAGGCGAAATCTCCATTTCTCCGTTCGGGGAGGGTTTTGGTTTTTAATTTTATTTTTCCTTTTTTGGGAGGTGTTTTTTTAGGGTTGATGAGTGGGAAAAAAATAAAAGTGGGGAAATCCGGAGCTTCTTTCCTCCTCTCCTCTGGAGCTGAGGTGCAAACAGGGTATTTGAGCAGAGGGAATGTCCTCCCACGGAAGCTGGAGCCAGCGGCGACGTTTCCTGCCGGGACATCTTTGTTGCACTTAGAGTTTACATATAATGGGTATTAAAAACAAAAATAAGAATGAATAATTAATAATAATGATAATAATAAAGCAACTTGGAAGGGCTCTCCGCTCCTCGAGGCGCCCTTCAGTTAGGTGTGTGTTCTGGTGAACATTCAGATATATTTATTGGTTATAGCCACTTGAAAATATTTTAGGGTTTTTTTTCCCTTTTGTTTTTGTATTATTTATCCCCCCTCCTGC